GAAGCAGGGCAAAGGTTAACAGAGTTTTGTCAAGAGAACACACTGGTCATAGCGAACACTCTTTTCCAACAACCTAAGAGGCGACTCTACACATGGACATCACCAGATGGGCAACACCGAAATCAGATTGACTATATAATTTGCAGTCAAAGATGGAGAAGCTCTATCCAGTCAGTAAAAACAAGACCTGGAGCTGACTGTGGCTCAAATCATGAGCTACTCATTGCAAAATTCAGACTTAAGCTGAAGAAAATTGGGAAAACCACGAGGCCATTCAGGTTTGACCTAGATCGCATCCCGGATGAATATACAGTAGAGGTGAAAAATAGATTCAAGGGTCTGGATTTGATTGATAGAGTGCCTGAAGAACTATGGACGGAAGTTCGTGACATTGTACAGGAGGCAGCAATCACCACCATCCCAAAGAAAAAGAAATGCAAGAAAGCAAAGTGGCTTTCTGATGAGGCTTTACAAATAGCAGAGGAAAGAAGGAAAGCGAAAGGCAAAGGCGAAAAGGAAAGATTTACCCAACTGAATGCAGATTTCCAGAGAACAGCAAGGAGAGATAAGGAGGCCTTCCTGAATGAACAGTGCAAAGTAATAGAAGAAAACAATAGAATGGGAAGGACTAGAGATCTCTTCAAGAAAATTGGAGAAATCAAGGGAGCGTTCCATGCAAAGCTGGCCATGATAAAGGACAAAAACGGTAGGGACCTAACAGAAGCAGAAGAGATTAGGAAAAGATGGCAAGAATACACAGAAGAACTATACAAGAAAGACCTCGATGTCCTTGACAACCACGACGGTATAATCACTGACCTCGAGCCAGACATCCTGGAATGTGAAGTTAAATGGGCCTTAGAAAACATTACTAACAACAAAACTAGTGGAGGTGATGGTATCCCAGCTGAGCTATTCAAAGTCTTAGAAGAGGATGCTGTTAAAGTTCTGCACTCCATTTGCCAGCAAATTTGGAAAACGCAACAGTGGCCACAGGATTGGAAAAGATCAGTATACATTCCAATCCCAAAGAAGGGCAATGCCAAGGAATGTTCAAACTATCGCACAATTGCACTCATATCACACGCTAGCAAGGTCATGCTCAAGATCCTACAAGCTAGGCTTCAACAGTACGTGGATAGAGAACTACCAGAAGTACAAGCTGGGTTTCGAAGAGGTAGAGGAACGAGAGATCATATTGCCAACATTCGCTGGATTATGGAGAAAGCAAGAGAGTACCAGAAAAATATCTACTTCTGCTTCATTGACTATGCTAAAGCCTTTGACTGTGTGGATCACAACAAACTATGGCAGGTCCTTAAAGAGATGGGAGTACCAGACCACCTCACATGTCTCTTGAGAAACCTGTATAAGGGCCAAGAAGCGACAGTTAGAACCGGATACGGAACAACTGATTGGTTCAGCATAGGAAAAGGAGTACGACAAGGATGTATACTGTCACCTTGCTTATTTAATATATATGCAGAGTACATCATGCGAAATGCTGGCCTGGATGAATCACAAGCGGGAATTAAGATTGCTGGGGAAAAGATCAACAACCTCAGATATGCAGATGATACCACTCTAATGGCTGAAAGTGAAGAGGATCTAAAGAACCTCTTGCTCAGAGTAAAAGAGGAGAGCGCAAAAGTGGGCTTGAAGCTCAACATCAAAAAAACTAAGATCATGGCATCCGGCCCCATCACTCCTTGGCAAATAGAAGGGGAAGTCGTGGAAGTAGTGACAGACTTCACGTTCCTGGGATCCCAGATCACCGCAGACTGTGACTGCAGCCATGAAATTAAAAGACGCCTGCTCCTTGGGAGGAAAGCGATGGCGAACCTAAACAGCATGATAAAAAGTAGAGACATCACCCTGCCAACAAAAGTCCGCATGGTCAAAGCAATGGTATTCCCAGTAGTCATGTATGGCTGTGAGAGTTGGACTATAAGGAAGGCCGAGCGCCGAAGAATAGATTCTTTTGAACTATGGTGCTGGAGGAGACTCTTGAGAGTCCCTTGGACTGCAAGAAGAACAAATCAGTCAATCCTCAAAGAAATCAACCCTGACTGTTCCCTGGAAGGCCAGATAATGAAACTGAAGCTCAAATACTTTGGCCACCAAATGAGAAGGGAGCACTCACTGGAGAAGACCCTGATGCTGGGAAAGATTGAAGGTCAAAGAAGACGGGGACGGCAAGGGATGAGATGGTTAGTGTTATAGATGCAACGAACATGAAATTGAGCAAACTACAGAGGATAGCGGAAGACAGGAGGGCCTGGCGGGATCTGGTCCATGGGGTCGCGAAGAGTCGGACTCGACTGTGCTACTGAACAACAACAACAACCGTTCCCTCTGATCTCCCGAGTCATTCAGAAGATTGTGGCCGATGCCACGTCCTGTATCCTTGTCACTCCCTGGTGGCCATCCCAAGTCTGGTTTCCGTACCTCCTCCATCTTTCAAATCGGACATTCCGGCCGCTGCCTGACATCTTCAATCTGCTCTCTCGGGCTCGATGAAAGATATTGCATCCAGACCCGGGCTTCTTCCGCTTTACGGCCTGGAAGATCCTGCATTAGACTTCCCACCAGAAGTGTCCGAAGTCCTCCTGAATGCCAGGAAGCCCTCTACCCGGGTCACGTACTGATTGAAGTGGAAGAGGTTCCAGTGATATGCCTCTGATCACTCCTTCGATCCATTTCAGTCGTCTCTCCATGAGATTTTTTCCTGCGTTGTCTCATTGAAAAACACTGGCCTTGTATACTCGTCTTTAAAGGTCCACAGTGGCCATTTCCGCCTACCATCCCTTGATACAGGGATCTACAGTTTTTCTCACTGTCTCACAAAGTCGTTCCTTAAAGGTCTCCTCAGGCTCTGTCCCTCTAGAAAGCCCCTGTTGCCTGCGTGGAGTCCGTCACTCATCCTCACTCAACTGATGTCTAAGCCATTCGAACCCATGGCTACAATTGATCTGCGGCTCCTCTCGTGGAAGACCGCCTTCTTTATAGCAATAACGACTGCTCGCCGAGTAGGGGAACTAGTTGCCTTTAGAGCTGATCCCCCCTATACAATTTTTCATAGGGAGAAGGTTGTCCTTAGACCAGATCCTTCTTTCCTCCCTAAAGTCGTTTCTGCCTTTCACCTGTCACAGTCGTCTGTCTTACTTACTTTCTTTCCAAACCCGACTGATGCGCCTCAGAGAGCCTTGCACTGTCTCGACGTGCACAGAGCGCTCTGTTTTTATTTACATAGGACTCAGCCTATCCATAAGTCTCCTAGGCTGTTCCTTGCCTATGGCCCCCCTAAACTGGGAGAGCCAATTTCCTCTCAACGCTTGTCAAAATGGGTGACTTCTACCATAGCTCTTTGCTATGAGCTTGCACGTCAACCCACTCCTACCTGTGTTACTGCCCACTCTACACGGGCAGTCTCAACATCCACTGCTTTCCTGGCTGGTGTCCCATTGGAAGACGTCTGCGCTGCCGCTGCGTGGTCCTCGGCATCGATCTTTGTGACCCACTATGCGCTTGACATCCAAGCTCGAAGTGATGCTGCGTTCGGCCAGGCGGTGCTGCGATCTCTATTTGCTTGACCCTGCTGCCTCCTCAGGTAGGACCATTGGATGTTTTTTTCATTCATAATGCTGTGTCTTAGCCAGTATTCTTGTCTTTTTCAGCTGCCAGCTCCCTCCTCCAACTAGTTTAGCTCTTGTAATCACCCATGTATGGGACTGCACAGAGACCACGACGAAGATAAACAGGTTGCTTACCTGTAACTGATGATCTTCGAGTGGTCATCTGTGCAGTACCACAATCCCACCTGGCCTTCCTCCCTGCTGGCATCTCCTGATCTCCTCTCTTGGATTGATGGGACTTACCTGTAGCGGTCAAAGGAACTGAGTGGGAGGCGGCTCTCTCCCCTGGTCCAGGCATGCGCAGTACGTCCCTGCTCCCCAGGGCGGGAAGAGAGCCCACCAAAAGTTTTCTGAGGCAAAGCTGTAGAAGTTTCTCCAATCGAGGTTGTGCGCAGGCGCCCAACCCATGTGTGGTACTGCACAGATGACCACTCGAAGATCATCAGTTACAGGTAAGCAACCTGTGGTTTTTTTTGTAACCAGTTAAAAGGAGACAATAATGTTCTAAATAGGTTCCCTGCTTTGATCTTTGTCTGTGGATTGCCTCTTTATCAGTGAAATTGACCATGGACTGGATGTCTCTGATAGCAGGGTGTTGGAATTGACACCAATAAGGCAATAATGAACTCATAATGAGGCCTGTTACTGTGCACTCCTCTCCAACAGGTAGTTTATAGCTGGTGTGCTGCTTAGTAGTGTTGGAGAGTGCTGTCTAGAGGTAGCATGTTCATTATTGTGCTTTAGATTGCACCTTATGACGCAGATGAGTATATCTGATTTAGAACAATTTTACAAAAAACAAATGTAAGAATAGTTCATAATTATGAAATTCTATTATGAGCAATTACAAAGGAAGCTTTGCATTGTATACATTCACTTGATGTTGTCTTTATCATTAAAGTATAAATTTAAGATCCTCCATTGGGATAAACTTTAAACCTGAGAGCATCCTGAAAATAGTTGTTGAGATTCACAGAACTGTCTCCTTGCTAACTCAGATATCATAAAAGTGATCCTCAGACAGTAAACAGTAGCTTTTTGGTATCTTCTAAAATGCCTGAAGTTAAGTTACATTGCATTTTTTCCTTGGAACAATAACAGTCAAAAGAATGTTCTAGAGCAATCCTTTTGTGTAGAATGGTGTAATCTAATTAGATGGTTCTTTTCATTAAGTCGAAGCCTACCACATTGATGGGGTTTGAGTGAAAGAGCCTTGCTTTCCTTGTCCATTCTGTCTTGCTATCTAGTGCCATGCTGCTTCTTTTTCTCTTTTCTTGATGTGTTAACTTTGGAGTGTTTCCTCATTAACGCTTTCTCTAACTTTCTCTTTCTCATTTCCTACCATGGATTTGCTGTTTGCTTCAGCCTCACTTCAAGGTCAGTATGTTAATTTCATGATTTTATGGGACTGATGGATCTAAAATTGAACTGTTGATACGATAAAATCCAATTTTGTTCTATAGAACATAGGATGAGAAATGTTAATCACTTTATTAAGACCTTGTAATAACCTACCCTGGTTCTACTTTTCTTGGCAAAATGCAGAACAAAGTGGCTCTAGGTGGGAACTTTTTCTTCCCTGGACATTATCACCTGTACAGTAATAAACAACATTTTTAAAGTACAGCTAGTCACAATGTACAGTTTGTTACAGAATATTTACCTCACCACAGAGAGATGTATTCATGAGGTAGAAGCATCAAAGTATCAAGAACATAATTTTAGATGTTTGTAAATATTTTGGTGTTCCAAATTTTAAACAAAGGAACCACACTGGTGAGTTCGTCAGTATACAAAGGGGAAGGTGTCAAAGTGTGTTTTCAAGCTCTGGGTGTTGTATTACTATGAACCAATGATTTCTGCCACCACAAACAGTTGTGTGGGAGTTTCTGTATCCCAAGATACATTTAAATTTAGCTTGTGGTAGAAATATACAGTATATGTGAGGGTGGTTTTTTTTTTAACAACATTAGATGAGTAATTGGGCCACTGTACTATTAGAAAGGCTGTAAAAAATATTTTATAGCAAAAAAAAAATAGAATGGTGTTCTTCTAAGACTAGTACTGTCCTCATCAAGATGCAGGGAGGAATGGGACAAGCAGCCTAGTGAAATGCTTCCTCTTGCACTCCTTTCAGTCCTGAACTGGGTACCGTTCTTGTAGCCTGTGACTCATGTCGTTCAAGCTATGATGCCTGGCAGTGAGGAAAGGGACTTGCTTGGGGACTTGCCCCTTACTTGTGACATGTCAACAGCAGCTATGGACAAAATTAGTAGTTGTCAAACTTTTTGAATTGGGAAACTCTTTTAAACTTTATTCTTTGGGTCCACTACCACAGCACCTTAGCCCAGAGCTCAACTTGGGCCCAAATGCAACAGACAAGGTCCCAGGAGGCAATGTGTATAAACTGTGATCATTGCCATTGTGCTGAATAGAGATAACCCCCTTTCCTTTGCCCTATGGGTGAAGTGGAGAAACCAGAAGCAGCCAATCATAGCACTCAGAACCTCAGAGGGAGATGGGGAGGGAAGCTGATAGAAGAAAAGGAGAATTTAATGGCCATTCTCTTCAGATAGAAGAAGAGGAGATTGGATTTATACCCCACCCTTCACTACTCAAAGGAGTTTCAGAGCAGCTTACAATCCCTTCCCCTTCCCACAACAGACATCCTGTGAGGTAGGTGGGGCTGAGAGAGCTCTCTCGAGAACTGCTCGTGAGAGAACAGCTCTGAAAGAACTTATGACTGACCCAAGGTCACACCAGCAGCTGCATGTGGAGGAGTGGGGAATCTAACCTGGTTCTCCAAGATTAGAGTCCACACTCTTAACCACTACACCACACTGGCTCTATACATTCTGACATGCATGTTAGAAGTAGCTCTATGGAGGTTCCAGTTTTGGCTCCTCGCTTGGCAGCCGTGCACCGGCGAGCTCCGCACGGTGCGGCCTGTTCCACAGCGGCTAGGAGGGGATCCGGCTGTGCCAGTTCTCCCTTGGGACCTCCGTAGAGGGCCCCTCAGCCACGGGGCGCGAGTAGTGCTGCTCTCGAGGCACGATGCCAAGGGATTGAGGCACACTTTGCCCCTAAGGTCCTACTGCCGCGGCGCCATTATGGCAATCAGAGGCACACACTGGTCAAGCGTTCAGGAGTTCTAGCGAAAATGCAAAATATCTCGGCAATTCAACGATACCGGAAGAAACGTGAGTGAATTTGCATCAACCACATGAACTTTTAAACGGGCACCGGTACCCCCCCACCAGCAACAGGGAAAGGGAACTACATCCTCCCCAACAAAAACGAAACTTTAAACTAAAGCCTTACCGGAAGGGGGGAAAGAGTCAGGAAAAATGTTATTTGATTGAGCAAGTACATCACCACGTAAAGCAAACTACGATAGCTCCCTTATAGAACTTTTACAAACTTCCTGGAAAAAGTAAATAATCAGTCGACAGGAAAAAATGGCGCTGAGGAAGCTTCCTTCAGGTGCTGGCAAAACATCATCTCCGGGAGTGAAACCAGATGCCAGCACAGACTTCTCATCCACGTTGGCTGTAGCATTGTGACCCCTGCTGGAGCAAATGACGAATCTCAACCAAAATTTTGAAACTCTCTAAAATCAGATGGTAAAAAACTTTAATGCTGTCACAAAAGTTGTTTTTAAAACATCGGCACTTGATCAAAAAGTGGAGCGACTGCAAAAAGAAAGAGCTGCTGATAAAGACAAATCCTTAGGCTTCAAGCAGAAAAATCAGCCTATGTGCTAAGGTTCCAAGATGTTCCAGAACAAAGTGGTGAGAATCTTAAAGAAATCTTGACTCAAGCATTATCCCCAATGACAGGTCTGAAATCTGAGGATTTACTAAGCGATTTGGATGTTGTCTATAGATAATGCCCCGAATACATAAAGAAGAAAAACGTGCCTGGGGAAATTATGGTCAGATTCTCGAAAAGGTCTACAAGAGACACGGTGCTTAAAGCTACTAATGGAAACATCTTGAAGATTAAAGACTCGGAGATAAGGGTTCTAAAGGATATACCATTTGAAATCAGAAATAAGCGAAGGCAATATAAAGACTTAGCTGTATTTTTGCAAAAGAAATCAATAAATTACAGATGGCTTTTTCCGGAAGGAATAACATTCAAGTACAAGGACTGTAAAGAAAAGATTGACTCTGCTGACAAAGCAAAACGATTTATGGAGAAGATTCATGGACCACCAAAGAAAACAACAGAAGAAGAGAAGAGTCACCAAGAAGAAGGTGAATACAGCTCACGGGGCTCAAGCAGTTCAGGAGCAAATACAACCAGTTCATCTGAAGAAGACTCCGCATCAGAATTGGGAGAAGTTGCACCCAAACTACCCAAAGGGGAGACTGACTTTGATAAAGATAAAAAGAAGGGAAGAAAAATCAAGAAGGGAAGATAATTGAGATATAAGATCTTGAAGGGATAAATAGTTTGTTTACTTGCTCAGAGCAAATACTTATATATTAACCTTATACTCAATGTTATAAACAGAAAAGAAGCTTCACTCATGTATGATATATTGTGAGAAACTTGAATAAGCGTTTTTATTAGCAACATATGTAACTCCTGTTAACCTCTCTTTTAGGTATGCTGTCCTATTTCCCGTAGATTTGTTAGTGTATACCCATCCCTTGTTTCTGTGTAGTGTGTATAAAAGCAATAAAAATTTTATATATATAAAAAAGTAGCTCTATCTTGCAGTCTTTCTCCAGGAAGAAGCAGACTGGATCAAGTGGGATGGCCTGAGGAGGCAGATACTGGTTTGTAAGTGCTAATGTAGTATTCCTGGGCTTAGGAAAGCTAAGGGGCAGATTGAGGTCTGTGTGGTAAAAGCTCCAGAAATCTTAAACTATGTTGGAAAACCTGAAGGAATCTTGTCTGTTTTATCCTCATATGGTAGACTGTCAATTTGTAGCTGGCTCCTATACCACAGTTCCTGTCGTAGGGGCTGTGGCTCAGTGGAACACCCTCTGCTTTGCATGCAGAACGTCCCAGGTTGAGTCCCTGGCAACTGTAGTTAAGGATGAGGTAATAGGTGGTGTGAAAGACCTCTGCCTGAGACCCTGGAGAGGCACATCCAGTCTGAGTAGATGGTACCGGCCTTCATGGACTGATGATCTAATTAACATCCTGTCCTGTTCTGTAACATCTTATCCTATAGAGAAGCTGTACACCAGAGGCAGGTGTCATCAGCATCAGTTAAGTACCTCACAGGCAGCTAACATCCAGTGAATTACAACACTACAACAGGCCAGTTCATGAAAAACTCTCCAGCCTCTGTGTATTAAAGTTTGTCTGGTGATGGGGCAGAGTAGCATGGGTGTTATTCCTCTGAAATTCACAAAGGAACATGCTACCAGATAGAGGATAGTGGCATTATATTATGTAAGGCCTCAACATTGCACTCAAACAATAAACGAAATTACATAACACACACAAACCCGCACCAACCAAACAGAATGCCACAGAATCTGTATCACTACTGGCTGGGCCCCAGGCTAGCCTGATCTCATCAGATCTTGGAAGCTAAGCCAGGTCAGCCTTGACTAGTACTTAGAAGGGTGACTTTCAAGGAATACCAGGGTCATGATGGCAATTGCAAACCCCCTCTGAAGCATCTCTTGCCTTAAAAACAAGTCTAGCTCACCACCTAGTGGTGCATAACACTAAAACAGCTAGAACTTCTGGCTGCCAGACAATCTTAGGATCTCCTGGCTATTCTACACACAATGCCATGTGATAATTATTAATTATTACTATTGTCTGGGAGCAAGATCAGTCCCTGCAGCCTAGCTGTGCCTCAGGTTACAGCTTGGCTGTGACCTGGCAACTAGCAGTCTAGTTCTGGAGGCAATGGGTTTAAGTTACACTCATCATGTCCTACATTGCTGGTGGCTGGGTGTGAGCCAAGCCCCTGGGAATCAATAGTCTCTGGGCAAAGAAGGGGAGGAGGAGAGAATGTTTGCTGTGCCTTCATTTTTCCCACCAAAAGGAGGAAGGGGGACCCAGAACTTCCTGCCAACTCACAAATTTGAATTTTGAGCGCCACCTGTGAGAGAGCCACAATCCAATCCAAACCCACTGTCTGAGAACCCTTGGCCTAATTGATATGTGTTGGCAGCTTGTATGGACTCAAGCCATGTAAGTGTTTGCTTGGATCCCCATGTTCATCTGAAATTAAATTTAAGATGATTTGGGTCAATTTGAGTTTGTACCCCTGAAGTAAAGGATCCTGAGAAGTGCTAATCTTTATGGATGGAGAAATGAATTAATAGTGTCCTAGAGCATGCTTGATATGCGTGGGAGGCCAAGAGCTTTTGTTGTGCTTCCTTAACCCAATTTAAGTTTTC